CAGTAAAACAGTTGTTTGGCCCATGTAATACCTTGTCGACAATCTCGATTTCATTTCATTTATAATCAAAAAAAATATATATTTAAATAAATAATATTTTTTTTTAAATATGTATTTTTACATATATTTATAAATATATGTTTATAGAAACACTTTTTTTTTATAAATAAAAAGGTATAGGATGTAGATAGGAACATTTGTCAATATATATAAATGAAATTATCAAATATACTTGTATAAAGCAACCACTTATATGAAAGACATGAGTAACAGTTAAAAAAAAACAAAAAGAATTAGTTCAGTTAATTAAGTTAATAATTAAATTAATTATTATTATTATTATTATTATACTATATATTATATAGTATATTTTATTATTATTATTATTATACTATATATTATATATTTTTATAAACTCTATCTTTATTATTTAACAGCTATGATTTCAAAATTGGATGAGAGCGTAGGTCGTATAACAGCTGCTTTGGAACGTGCAAATATGTTAGAGAATTCTATTATAATATTTTACTCAGATAATGGCGCGCCATCAGTAGGTTTATTTTCTAACACCGGCAAAAATTGGCCATTAAGAGGAGTAAGTAAAGCTTAAAGTTAATATATCAAAAACACAACAATATCAAATTTGAACCAAATATTTTACAGCAAAAAAATACGCCATGGGAAGGAGGAGTGCGAGTTGCAGGTGCCATTTGGAGTCCATTAATTGAAGCACGTGCAAGTATTTTCAAACAGCCTATATATGTTGGTGATTGGTTGCCTACTTTAGCTGAAGCTGCAGATGTCGAATTACCAAAGGACTTTGAACTGGATGGCATAAGTTTATGGTCTGAGCTAAAAAATGATAATACAGAGACAAATTACAAAGAGCGCGAAATAGTACATAATTTGGATGATATATGGAATGTAGTTTCATATATGCGTGGACCATGGAAATATATTAATGGCACAACATCGAATGGTGCTTATGACAATCTAATAACTTATCGCGAAGAATACGACGTTGATCCAAGAGAACTACGTTATGTTGTGGAAGTGAGAAACTCAGCTACATCAAAAGCATTAAGAAAATATGATAAATATCGACTGACGATGTATAGAATTGAGCAATTACGTGATAAGGCCGCTGTAAAATGTGGTAATCTGCAACGAAGTTGTAATGCGCTACTTGAGGAATGTCTTTTTAATTTAAACGATGATCCGTGTGAACAAAATAATTTAGTTTGGGATACTGCTTATAAGAACATATTAAATGATATGCGTGAAAGTGTAGAAAGTTATCGTAAAAGCGCTACTAAACCACGCAATTTACCGGGACAATTGGAATATGATCCAAGTAGACATAATTGTGCATGGACAAACTTTCTAGAAGAAGCACCAACAAATAGTATGTTATATTCTTTTAATACAGAAAATATTTGAATTTAATATATATAATTATATTAGATACCCTGGATTGTGGATATCATGGACCTCCTTGTCTCGAAACAACTGATGTAGGAGGTAGAAACTCTATAATACACATAAATAAATTTATATAAAATTTTTTATAGCTTTAAAATGCACTAATAAATATTATTTAATGTCAAGCAAATTACATACTTTTGAAACTTGTCATCACTAAGGACGCAAAATGAGTTCAACTCAAGAGACCATAGAGTAAAAATGATTAACCAGGATTTCAGAAGGATAATTTTTATAAACATAACATTTAATCGTAAAGTAACTGTAATCGGAGGGATAATTTGAATGATTCACTTAAATAGCAAAGACTAGAATTGATCAACAAAAAATGAAAATTGATCAACAGTGTTCCAATAATTTAATACGAAACCCGACACAAGTTTGGTAAATCCCCAAAAGTTTTTGCAACTTGTCACATCCACCATATTCTTCAGATTTGGCACTTTGTTTATTCGATTTTTTTTTTCTCAAATTTTTTATTAATAATCTTATATTTAGAATAATTAAATTTCAAGATTTCTAATGATGGGTATTTGGCAATACTCGAAACAGCTATATAGACAAGCAAAAATTCAATCAAATAAAAATAATAAAATCTTAGTTGTTGGAATTCACTATTGTTCAAAACCTCTCTATAAAATCAATAATCTAGACAAAAATGACATTATCATGACCATATAAAAAAACAGTTGATCAAAAACTGAGCGCTAGCAACACACTAACATATATATTAAGCAATATTAAAAGTATTCATCGTTTTTCGTCACCAGATGGTGTTGATATTTTTTTATAGTAATAAGTTAACCAAATTTTTCGCCCATAAAAGGCAGAAGTTCTACACCGATGGAATTATGACAATTCCCGAAATATTATAAATGGCCATAAATAATAATAATAACGACCAATAAATACTTAGGCCGTGTGCGAGTTTGAGTAAATTGATGGTAAATTGTGGGAAATAATAAATTATGTCGGTATGGCAGCGAATATTGATATTTACCAGAATTTCGAGTAGGGTAGTTTAGATAAAAATTATGTAAATTAGGTGCTACCATAGTGAAAATTCTATAAGATGTTTAATAAATAAATAAATAAATTTGAAACATTTTAATCAAAAATAATAAATAAGTGCCATATAAATAAATAAATAAATATTTACATAAGTGCAG